ATTGGTCACAGTTGAGATGTAACTGAAGAAGATTTAAAAACTGAGTAATTATCATCTTAGAATATATGGTGAATCACTGGGGAGGTAACACGGATGAGTGAATTTGTCAATAGGATGGCAGTGTCCTCTTAAGAATCAGAACTTAAGTAGGTCCTATTAATAGCCTGCACCAAATGCAGCTATCTTGATTTTAGTTTGCTTTCTTGTCTGATTCATTTTCCTTTAGCATAGCAGTTACCGATTCCTAGTCTCATTCCTTCATAACATTTGTGTTGCACTTACATCTTCCTTGGTTGCTGAGTTACTAACAGCTACTCTAAAGCACAACAATGTAGCTAGAGAAGGCCATACAGGGGGAGTATTTGTAGAGGGGTGGAAAAAGTTGCTGCCACTGTTGTCTGGATCTCCTGTGATAAAGCTGACATGTCAGACAATGAAAACCCAAGTGCCAGTGATTGGGTGAGGATCTAAAGTAAGGATAGGATTTAGGCAAAAGGAGGGTGGAATGAAAGGAAAAAACAGACCTAGACAAGTTTGGATACACAGCTAGCTTTGGCAGGTATCTGTGGCTTGACAAAGTCTCTCGTTCTATAAACACTGTTTGTGCTTCCTGAAGTGTGTGCAATGTGTTGGATAGGGAGAAAAATAACTTTTATAATTAGGATATCAATACCTATTTCATACCAGAAGGTTGAGTATAGACTGGAAGTTATTTCTTGTCATAGTTCTCATGGAGCAGTAGAGATGGTAGGGCCCAAATCTGTGAATGGTGAAAGGGTGCTACATTCCCTTGACTGCATCTGAATTCTTCCAGTTATCACTGATAGGGAAACAGGTACCAACCCAACCCTTATTTACACACAGGACTGGTGTACCATTTGTCTGCTTTCTTTATTGGAGCATACTCTGAAATGCTACAAACTGTTCTATGAGGACAGTGGGAAGTCACCAGTGTAATTAAAGCTAAGAGCTGGAATTTACCTAGATAATACTAAAATTTGTGGTCATTCCAAGGAATATATGTACTGTACTTTAGACAATGCATTCAAATAAAAATGTACATTCCTTTCTTAGTAGAATAAGGTATGACTACCATTGTATACAAACCTTAAAAACATTAAGATTCCAGTGTGTCGTTTTGTTCCTTCGGGGCAGGGATCACTGCTTGTACTGCAGACTTCCTCTGATTTCTGACACGCCTCTCTTTCTCTGTTGCTTTTATGGAGCCTTCCTGTAGTTGTAACTAACTTTTGTCTGACCCCTCTTGGTGGCTTTAAGAATTAGTTTTAATCGTGACATTAACAATGGACTTACTTTATGGTGAGGTGGTAACAGTGAAATAGAGCGTGAATCCTACCCTAATTAGGAAGAGATGATTGTTCACACCAAAACTGCAGATTATGTAACAGCTCCTTGAGAATAACTAACCTGGTACTAGATGATGTAAAAGTGATCTGGAGCAAATATCTTATACTTAAGGGAGAACTTGAGCACATATAGAAAAAATATTAGCATTTTTCTTAAGATAATGAACTTTAACACCATGAAAACATAGTGTTAAAAAAATCTCTTATTCTTTATGTCAGAGAGATATGAACCTGATCGTCAGAATTTATTTGAATTAAACTAACAGCCTTTTTTTTTGTCTAGATTTGATAATTACAGCTGGAGGTGAAAATGTGCCTCCAATTCCAATTGAAGATGCTGTTAAGAAAGAACTCCCAATTGTTAGCAATGCTATGGTCATTGGAGATAAAAAGAAGTTTTTGTCAATGTTGCTGACTCTAAAGGTAAACCAGTTTTAATATTGCTTTCAGGGAGCACCTAACAAAATAATTTTGATCTGTTTGTGAAAAGACACAAAATTGGGTATGAGGATGTTTGTGGCAGAAAAAATGCATAATAACTACAGGCCAAATCCTGGTAGATCTAAACTTCATACGGTTACATGATCTGTGAAACATCTATGTGTTACTGCTGTTTTCTCCTATGTGTATAGTAAGACATAGTTTTTAACTACATTGAAATTTTCGATTAAGAAATGTTGGAAGAGTGAGAAATCTGCAACAGAGCACAACAATACCTTTGATTTTTACAGACGAGCAAAGCCAACAAGTGTTTCTTTTAGGGGCAAACCCAATTTCTGACAGAAACTCTCCAACAGAAACAAACTTTCCACCTGAAACACTTCCCTATGATTTGTTCTGTTCAAATAACACAGGAATGAATGTAGGATAAAATAATCCGTAGCTTTGCTGTAGTATATATTTCCACTGCGAAATCTCTTGCACTTTTTGTTCTGTGGGCATGCATAGTGAATGACCCTTTAGTTTTTCTCTAGTTGTTTACCTCTATGACTGATACTCTCTATTTACAGGTACAATAGAAATACTAATTTAAGAAGTCTAAATTTCAAAGAATGCTTCTATCTGAAGCTGCTTACATTACACCACAGTAATTCAAGTTAACAATGACTTAAATGTTCCCCTGTAACACTGGAGTAATTTAGAAAATGTGGTAGCAATTCAAGATCTAGAGATGGACTTTATTGCCTCATTCATTGACACCTTTGAAGTCCGTTCATTTCATCTGCATATAAGTCAAAAATAATTGTATTTGGTAGTGGGGAGAAAAAACCATTGTCATCTGCAGGTATTTCTGGGTTTTATTGCTTTTACAGGATGTTTGGCTGTTGACGCTGAGCTGCTTTATTCTTATTAGTCAGGAAGGACCTGATCAGAGAAACTTTTAATGCCTTGTAAGAGTGAGCATGTGATGATTCACTTCATTTGATATTTTAGGCCGTGCTGGACCCAGATACATCTGAGCCCACTGACATTCTCACTGAGCAAGCTAGAGACTTCTGCCAAAAGACTGGTAGTAAAGCCACTAAAGTGTCAGAGATTGTAGTCACAAGAGACCAGGCAGTCTACCAAGCCATTCAGGAGGGAATCGACAAAGTCAACATGAACGCCACTAATCGGGTTCATTGTATCCAAAAATGGATAGTCCTGCCAAGAGATTTTTCCATTTCTGGGGGAGAACTAGGTAAGATTTACTGATTTCTGTTGAGGTCTACACATAGTAAAGAGGCTGCTGATCTGAGAGTACTCAAATACAGTTTTGTGTACCAAACTCGGGGCTCGGCCACTAGAGGGAAAGGAAAAAGCCATTAGCAGTAAGAGTTAAAGAATACAAAACTGGACATTTTGCTGTGCACATGTGTATCCTTCTGCGCTTACTTACACGTACAGCTCGATAGTTATATTTCAGATTGCTGTGGACAATTAAGTAATCGATTCTGGTTAATCCCTTGTGCACTATAGTTATTAATAACTTTCCCTAATAATACTGAAAATGTATTGGTTCAAAGTGAAAGGCAGTGAAAGCCTGACAGCAGAGCTGCAAGCACATTACCAGGCTCTTTGAATAAACTGGGAATTGTTTAAAAGCTTTCAAAAAACAATTATTTTTAATGAAAAAAGTAGCAGGAGTCAGACATCATCTTACCTGCAGTTCCTTTTGAAGTCCTCATGCCCTACGTACCATGCTTGCTTCTCACTTTCAGCAGCTATCTGCACTTACAGAGTGGCAGATGTTCTTCCAAACAGGCTTTTCAGTAGAAAATCATAGGATCCAAAGCTCAGACTGAATAGGAATTTTTGTTCCTATTTCTGCTGTTGTGACTCCCTCCCTCTCTTAAGGTCCAACGATGAAGCTGAAACGGCTCGCCGTGCTAGAGAAATACAGAACTGAAGTGGACTCCTTCTATGAAGAATGAGCAGTATTTTCATCCAAGCATTAAGAAAGATCTGTGAGCTAAAGAATTTCCTAATCAAAAGCATTAACAAAGGTTTATACTTGGTTTGGTTTTAGTCTATAAAACCGCTGTGTCAGTTGTTCCTGATACTCACCTGTACCATTTGCCCTCTTTACAGAAGCATCTACGCAGTGTGTCCATTTCCTAATAGTGTTCTGACTTTTACCTAAATGACTAACATTAAAAATGTCCTCTTGTGTTGTAGAAAGTGGCTATAATCCAGAGATGTGGTGGCTGCACCATCCCTGGAGACATTCAAGGCCAGGCTGGATGTGGTTCTGGGATCTGATCTAGTTGGAGATGCTCATTGCAGGGGGGTTAGACTACATGAACTTCGAAGGTTCCCTTCTAACCCAAACTGTTCTATGATTCTGTAATTCCTCTATACTGAAACACAAAAGTTGCCCATTGCTTGTATTTGGGTAGAGCAGTAGTTAGCACTCCTGCAGAGTGCTGGAGTTCCACCACTCCAACAATAAGGTAGCTATTTAAAAGAAATTACAATCAAAAGGGCTGGGTTTTTCTGCCTCCCAAAGAAGTTTTTGTTTGCTCAGTAACACATTTCAGAACCTGCAGGCAATCCTCTTCCACTTTAACAGCGGTTAGAATTCAGAGTTCCGTGAAAACGCCAGCTAGTAATTTCTTAAATCCATGTTGAAATGAACATTACTATCTCTCCCAGAAACAACTAATCAAAGCAAAACCAAAGCTGGGGCAATAGCTCCATAAGACTGTAAGGCAAAGCAGCAAACATGGGAGATCTCACATTAAATGCTATTGAGAACAGAAACTTTGTTCAAATTGTTTATAACACTTTTTTTTTTTTCAAACCAGAAAGGTTTCGGAGCAATGTTTGTCAGTGTGCATCTGCATGCTTCAATATGCACATTGTACTAACGCTGCCAAGTGGGAGCTGCATTTCTTCTTCCCCATATAAAATCTAGATCATACTATATGAGGGACACATGTGCCAGGAGGTTGTCTAAAGGGTTTGCTGTTAGTGAGTGATCTTTGGCAGAGCTGTAATAGGTAGCACAAGCAGCCAGGCCACAGCCACTGTTCCTGATCAGAAAAATCAGGCAGAATTGGATCTTGTTTCCAGGAAAGTTCCATTACCAGTCTTGCACATCAACACGTAACACGAGACAGCAGCCTGGGATTAGAAAAACAAAACAAGCAGTAGGACTTTGAAAAGTTTATTTTTCCCCATTTCTGCGCAATGGTAATTCCGAAGTTCTTTAACAATATTAATCTGAAGGAAACAAGGCAGCAGCAGCTTGTAAACCACAGAAAGAAATGTTGCCCTATTCACCAGAAGCAGAGTGCACAAGGAATAGAACTCATTGTCCCGCCTCCGAGGTGGTGGTAGAATGTACAAGAAGAGCTGGGATGCTTACTTTTATACAGCAACACTAGAAGCTGTTACTAAACTTGATTTGACTTCTGAAACAACCAGTCTAAACAGTCGTAAAAGAAAGTAACTAAGTGGAGTGATATCTATTAATAGAATGAAGCTTTAAGAGGCCTGGTACTGGCAGTAGGGATAATCCTGTGCTGTAGTCATGAGTTTTGAAACACACATTTTCCTGTAGGGTGTACCAATGGAAGCACACCTTGAGACATACACATCCAAATGACTCATATGATGATCTGTATGTGCAGAAGAAGGGAGAGAAAGAGAGTTGCTTTTGTGTGCGTTAAGCTCAGTAAGCCTGAAAAAAATAGTCCAAGATCCTCATGAATAGGATGAAATATATTTCTGGAACGTAGGCACCAGAGCCAAACCTTCACTCTGTCTTAACCCATTTAGGACTAGTCTTTTACATTCAGGGTTTCTAGAATAAAATTACTAGTCAATACAGTAAGACACACTGAACAGAATGCAGGAAAGTACAACACAAAAAGCGCTCCAGCATGAAGTTATGAAATCCGTAGTATAAATTTGCAAAGTTAATACTTTCCCCTCACAATAAATGGCAGAACTAATTTTGACTTAATTTACTCTCATTAGAACTCTGTTGAAAAGTGTGTTTCAGAGAGGAAAACTTGTAAGAATTATTTTGGTCTATGGATTTGAACAATAATTTTAGTTCATTAATTCTCACCCCTGGCTGGTAAATGGTTGTGGGCTTTTAAAAATACACAAATAGATTAAATCTCTAGGATTTTGTATTCCTTTATTCGTGCCCTTAGAAGTCAAGGCTATACTTCATGAATTACCAGACTATCTAAAGTGGTTTCTTCATTGCTTTTAACATGAAATTGCCATTTTTAGTTACTTCATACCCGTTTCTGTCTATGCAGGTCATCATGTGCTCCTGTTAGGCTGAAAACCTATCTCATAAATTCCAGCAAGATCAATAAAGTAGGTTTTAACCATTAAGGTGCTTTTATATTTCACTAATTCTATTACTGGTTTATTTGCATTTTCTTTTCTTTGTGGAAAGTAAAAACCTCCAGGTGAAATGGGAAATGGTAGAACAGCTCCAGTGGCAATGAAAGAATTCACTGACATAAAAATGTTCACCAGATAGAAAAAAATAAATATGACAAAACACTTCAAGTCCACTGAAAGCAGGCACAAGCATCATTCATAGCCATTTGGACTGACTTTATTAATGGAGAGGCCCTAACTAAAAAGTTTGCTCTCAAGAGACAAGCAAACTATACGCGTATGGATATCATATATAATGTACTTTGTGTGCTGTGTCCTTTTGGAGTTATTACAGGTAGTATGAGAAAAATTTAGTCTTTGTCCTTTACTCTGCGGCAGATCTCCTCTGTGAATTCTGAACACTTGGCATTACCTCCCAAGTCTTTTGTCAAGACCTGAAAGAAAGAAAGAAAACCCATTACTAAACTGTTTTACAGGGCTGGTCTTGTCTGAACAGTTCTAGATGATGTTCTTCTATGTTGTGTGACTACTAAACAGGAGTGAGGAGGAATACATCCAGTTTGATGTTTTCTGCATCCCATATCAATATAGATTTCATCAATAAGGACTGTACTGACTGAAGGAGGTAAAGAAAACTTGAGTGCCAACATCACATATTATCAGTTTTCCACATGATTTTATCTTAACTACAGGAAGAAAATTTGTTTGGCCAAAGCTCTCCAAAGGCCCTTGTCCAAATAACAGTGTTATTAATCATTATTAATGATTGATTTTATTAAGTTTTCAATAGGAACTTTGTCTTTTGGAAGTAAAAATTATATATGAAGGCTCAGCACAAAGGTAACTAACTGATTTGGGGGGAATTTGTATGGGTTTTGGGTTGTTTTGTTGTTGTTTAATTTAATGTCTGTTTGTTGTTAAGGAAACCTACCCAGAAAAAGCACACATAGCTCTTAATGCTGAATGTTAACACTTCTTTCAGTTTGCTTAGTTCAGTTAAGAGATGGAAAATGCAGAGTTAAAGAAAGCTTTTCATCAAGTGCAGCTCCTATCTGGCAGCATAAAGATAGTGCAATAAAGAAAGAAGTGGGCAACATCGCTAGTCCTACCTCACTAGATTAAAGCACTCCAGAAGGTAATTTAAAATCACGAGTTTTCCCCTTACATGACACACACAGAGATCTTAATTAAATGGCTGGGGGAAAGGGAAAGGGAGAAACAGAAAGCAGGAGAGGGAATGAAGGTTATTATTTTAGGATCTTATCTTTTTAACTGCATTATGCTTTTTTGCCAATTTAAAAAGATTCTCTCCATTGTGAGCATATAACCATACTGGTGTTAAGTAACTAGTAAACAAGTAGCCATGTCACAAAACTTGCACTGTGTTATCTTCCATACAGTTACTGACCTGCAGATGGAGGATATTTCATTTCCAGAGAAGTAAATGGGAACTTTACAGGAGCACCTCTTTATTCACTTGTAAGTTTAGATATTTTTTAACTGCCTCCTACACACAGTAAGATAGCTGCAAACAGACCACTTATGAAATGATGACAGCTTTTTGTTTAAGCATCCTTGTCACTTTTCATTACAAAGCAGCTTCTTAAGCTCCTGCCTAAGATAACTGAACCAGCCTAACTGCTAATCCTCTTTAACTGCAATCTTCAGAATCTTTCCAGCTATGTTTGAAAAGGTGGATGTAAAAGTAGATGAGTGAACCAACAATTTTAAGAGGACAAATCCAAGTCAGGTTTCAGAGCATGTGTGTCCCTGAATATGCCATTTGAGTCTCTAATCTGGAGACACTTGCTGCCAAAGGGAAATTGCATTCAATCTTAAGGGGAAAAAGTAAACACTGGATAAAACCTATTTGTAGCCCAAAAAGGACTGAAAGCAGTTAGAAGGTAAAAAAGAAAACAATGGAACTGAAAAGAGGAGCAGAAATATTACAGTCAGGACTGAAATGCTATAAAAGAAGTGGAGGACTAACCCTGTGAAAGACAAATGAGTCTCCTTCACTTCAGGACCCAGACTTAAATATATGTCTTTTGTATACATTATAAACTTCACTACTGGAACATCATTAGTTACTTAAATCTCTAATCCCCTTCATGGAAAAGAGACATCCAGTTCTAGCTTTGAGAGTTAACAAAGCTGTGGAAATATAAGATGAGCATTACTGAGACACAAGGAATGCTACAGCCTATCCTTATTACTGAGCTGGGCAGCTTTAATACCACCAAAGGTAATAAAATTACTATCAGAGAAGGACAGTGGCACTGCTCATGCATCAGGCCAGTAGAGCAGGTGGTGTTCCATTACCACACTGTTCGAGTGGTAATGTTCAAAGTTAATTTTTGCTATGATAGAATATGATTTCAGTTCAGTGCATTTATTTGCACACCCTTAGATTACCTTTCCATCTTTAATTGTTTCAAAGCAAGCTGTCTCAATTTTTGCAGCATGCTTGTGTAGTCCCATGTGACGCAACATCATCACAGCACTCAGCAGAAGGGCAGTTGGATTTGCCATGTCTTTTCCTGCAATGTCTGGTGCTGTTCCGTGAACCTAGAAATAAAAGTGAACCTATCTGTTATGATGTCAGTAACGCTGATTAAAATGGTCTAGGCAATTCAAGTGTATGCAAGCAACCTGAAACATAATCCTCATACAAGAGAGTTAAAATAGGACTTACTTCACAGTGATACAGTTAGCAGAAAGGAGATAGGAAAGACCAGAACAGTTCAATTCAAAGGCATCAGAAAGGAGTAACTAAGTCACCTAGTATCTCCCAATTGTGCCCATGAAGTTCTATTTCACAGAGTGTATTTATCTTACAAAACAAAGGAAAAACAAAGTGTCTGTAAAAGGACATGCAAAAAACTATGTGTAATGCATACCGTGTGTGTAATACATACTGTACCTTCTCTGTCTGAGTAAAGGTTCAGCATCTTCACAGTAAAGAACGGTTTTACACAGAACTTAATTCAATGATAGCCACACTGTATGTCATGGAAGTTTTAGATTCTCCAGTTGAGACAAATCGGTTGTTAATACTGCAGAAGACATTGCAGAAGACAACTTACCGATTCAAAAATGGCAACTCCATTAGCACCAATATTGCCACTTGGTGTTACTCCAAGACCCCCAATCAGTCCAGCGCACAAGTCACTGGAGATACAAAAAACAACAAACCCACCAGTTTTTCCATATACAGTTGCTTCTTTGCAAGGTATTCAGATGTTCTTTTTTCTCAGTTTATTGCAACAAGAACTTATTTGATTTACCCACAGCCTGAGAATAGCACTGGGAAGAACAGATGCTGTTTTCCAATGGAGTACAAGTGGCTAATTTGTAAATTTGTAGAACTAATAGCAGGGGGCAGTTTAATAAAGGAAAATTAAGATGTAACTCCAAATACTAGAACATAGCTGATATTAGGTAGATGAATTACTAGTAGTTTTAAAGCTTATTGCATCTGGCTTATGGAATATGTTCCAGTGACACCAGACAGGCTTTCCCCCTCTCTTTCTTAAACAGCCCACAAGTCTGACATAATGATATCATCAGACACAAGCAATTTACACAAGCACTTTGCATGTGGTTTACTCCAGAATTAACATGGGGACGAACAAAACAACTGTGCCTACAGTCGTCATCCTGTACCCTCAAAGCTGAGCATACAGATAAACAAGGCTCTTAAAACTCTGGTATTTTAGCAATCTGTTTTATTGCCTACAACTTAGCTAAGCAAGGACTCACAAGCAGAAAAGTTTGGATGACCTTGCAGAATAATATTTCAAGTTTAAGCTAAAATAACCCAATTAGCTTTAGTTGTATAGGCTGGAGGCACAAAAAAATGGATACAGTCTAAATTTGTCACAGTAGGGATTTAATGGTTCAAGGTAAGGGATTCCCTGCTGTACCTATTCAGTCCGAGAAACCTGTTTGGCATGATGTTCACACTTCAAAAAAGCAGTGCAGGTGAGACCATCCTCAGTGACTCAAGTGCCCTCTTCAAGAATACACATTTATTGAAAATGCTGAGAATTATAGAACTGTTTCCAGAATTTCTATGAGAACTTTAAAATTTTAAACTTCAAACCTTTAAAATCAGTGACGCTGAATTAGATAAAGTGAGTTGAAATTGTACTGATGGGACTCATTTGATTTGATCTCCTTTGGTTGACAGCTGCTGTAACGGCCCTCTCCACCCCTCTAACAGTTTTTAATGCAAGAAGCATTAGCTGGGAGTCTGATTTTTCTTAGAGGTTACAAACAGCCTTATCATAGAGTGCCATTTCAAGAGAAGCTCAGCAGGCATTTCTTCTTGTACATAAGTTACCTTTACTTTTGTACAAATGCAGGAGATGGGTTCTAAGATGTAAATTCTAATTCATGCTGTTTTCTAAATCTCTCCTTGGAGGTGCAAGGGGAAGTAATGTTATGTTAAAAGTTCAAATTAAGATACTTAATTTTACATGCAGCATTTAATTGAATTTACACTCTACCTAAGCATTTAACAGAATGGAAACAGTGTTCTGATGTATTTTGCCTTCAAGAGATCAAGTATCTCTAGTGTTAATGTTACCCAAATATGCAATTTAATTTGAAAATAAGGAAAAATACAATACATAAAACAAGAGCTGGCAAGGTATTAAGAGGCACCATGGTTCATTCTTCAGTGACTATGCATTATCATTTAGCTGTATGGCTAGCTTGCTGTAAACATCATGGTCGCACAGTCACCTCACACTATTTTAGTGCTTACTATTAGAAAGTTTCCCCCCAAAATCTAACTAAGCATTCTTTATTACAGTTCAAGCCATTAAATTCTTCACATATTTGGAGAAATTTCTCTTCTGGCCCATGTGAATATATTAATAGCCTCCATAAGCAGAAACTTTAAACTAAGAAGCACATTCTCATCATGCAGCTCCTCCCAACAATATAGTAATAATTGAAGTGTAATAAGAGCATCCTTTCTGCCCATTTAGAGTCTGAGGTATAAAGTTTTAAACTCTGAATGCATAAAATCATCATCCATCTGGCTAGCACATAACCTGAGTAACTGTCTGGAAAGCAACAGCACTCTATACACTGAGGTACTTGAAATTACAATCTCCATACCTGAGGATGTCACCGTACAAGTTTGGCATAACAAGCACATCAAACTGTGATGGATCTTGAACCATCTAGAAAGAAGTATATTTTCATTAAGGTTAAGAATTTAAAATTAAAACTAATCACGATTAAGACACATCAATACTTACATTCAGACACACAGTATCCAGGTACATTTCATTAAATTTAATGTCTTTACAGTTTTCTGCTGCTTCCCTGCATTTTCTCAAGAAAAGCCCATCAGACATTCTCCTGCAATTAAATAAGCAAGAGAATATTGCAGTTGTTCTAAAAAGCAATACTGAAGGTAAAGAAAACTGCATGCAACAGAGGATTAAATACGTATATAAATTTAGATTAAATTATTAGCAGAATTAGCAGAAACTTTGTTACTAATTATCCCTTATGTTAAATAATCTTTTAAATATATTGCTGTCAGAGCAGTTCTGCCTTTCAAATTGTCTCCTAAAATAATTTTGTATCAGTTGTTTCACAGGCGTACATTGATTCTCAGGATGAATCCTGTTCATTTACTAAAGGCTTCCTGAGTTTGTAAAGGTGGTGTCACGTAATATCACCTCTTAGAACTTAGTTCAGTACAAAGTGCCTTTTTCATCCTCAGTTTTTAAACTCATCTTCCTAGTTTAAGACTCTTTTTAAAACAAGATCTTTGCAAGGCAAGTCACAGGATTACTACAAACTTTCTAATAATAACATTAGGATATTAGAGTCTTATCAATACTGGGTTTAGGGTTGCCTCATTACTTACTCCCAGTAACACCAACACAAGTTATACATTTGAGGGGCAATTAAGTTACTTATAATTAAATGCATATTACTATTTGTTATTCTTCTCAAGAAGAAGTGTCAACATACATAATGTTTGCCTTGTGCACAGCAGTAACATGGCTTCTCTGGTTGTTTCTGGCATACTCAAAAGCAAATTCTGCAATCCGCTTGCTGGCTTCTTCTGTGATCAGCTTGATACTTTGCACAACACCATCAACAATCTGAAAGACAGTAATCGCACTGATGGTTTTGATGGGTAGCAAACTTGAACACCACTGAACCTCCTAGTATTAGGCCACTGAGATGGGCAAAGTTATCCTTCATGAAACACAGAAAACACACCACTTCCAGCAACGTACCACGTGCTCAATTCCACTGTATTCGCCTTCTGTGTTCTCTCGAATTGTGACAATGTTCACATCTGTGTAAGGGGTTTTGTACCCTTCGATTGAGACACAGGGACGGACGTTTGCATAAAGGTCAAAGGTTCTACGCAGGAGCAGGTTCATGGATGGGTGTCCTGCAGCAATTGGGGTCTTTAAAGGCCCTAAAGGGAAAAGGTAAAAAACAAATGCAAGAATGAATGAGAAGGTAAATCCCTTCATGAATTTCAGAGCTCAAACTCTAGTAACCTAGAGTGGTACTCTTAACAGAGGATCTCCAAGTTCCTGTTGAACCCTTCTGCTGAAATGCCACAGCAATTCTCTGTGCTATTGAGTACTATTACAGTGATATTAATCAGCTCTTTAAAGGCCAAACTGCCACCCTTGCATGGAACAGCAGTTTTTACAAAAGCTTTTGACTGAAAACAACAAAAACAAAACACCACTAGGAATATACTTATTGAATACTATCATTAGAAATGCATTCTGCACAGAGTCCAAAGGCTGGCTTATAGCAACACTTGCTTTTTCCTAGAAGATCTGTGAAAATTATGGCTTCAAAAAGAAGGATGGTTTTAAAATTACAGAAGACTGTAATTACCTGACAGGCTGTCCCCTACAATAAGCCATTTTATTATGCAAATGAAGGTCTTCAGCTTTAAATCAGAGTCACAATAAAAACAACAGTATTTAATATATTTGTATTAACCCCTTTTAATGTACCTTTTAATCCCATTTTGTTTTTATCCATGGATTCTTTGGCATCTGGAGGAATCATCCACTTCCCTCCTGGTCCTTGGATAGCTGTAACATTCCTTTCTTCCCACTGAATAGGAGTCTAAACACATTCACTCTATGTTAACTTAAATATCATCACTTTTGCTTCAAGCTTTAACTTCCCTTTCACAAAAAGGTGCGTAAGGAATTTGTCCAGGCCTTCCTAAACAATTTTTCTCTGGTAAATGAGAGTAACCATGAGATTTCTGAAGTAAGAAAAGAAACATTTTGGTTTAAAATGTAATTAAGTAAGTGACAATGAAATAGTATGAGCAACACATCATCATAAACCTGAATACCATGACGCTTCCCCAGGTGCCATATACTCAGCAATCCTCAGAATTGCAATATACATGCTACACCTTTCCAGTTCTTAGAGCTGTTGAGTTCCTTGTATACAAGAGACAAAACATTTGAAAACTGAATTCATTGAGAACTTGTCATCCATACTGCCTGGAAGACAGTACATAACAGATATATATATGTTTTCTAACTGAAAACCCGCAAATGTTCCATTCACCCACTTGTAAGTGGAGACAGGCTCATCAGGAAGGACCATAAAGGAAAAGATACAAGGGCTTTGCAAACTGAACCAATGTAAGTGTAACACACTAGAGAATCCCCTTTAAAACAAACAAATCTGATAAAGTATTGTAAGCATGCATTCATGCACAAACAGCTTTTACTCCTCTACCCCTCCTGCTTGACTCCCCAGAAACAACCAAAACTATTACAAGGTCTTCCTAGATAAAGAGAAATTGACTTTTTCCCAGTTCAAGCTGGATAGCTGTTACAGAAAGGAAGATGTCTTGGTGCTGTTACTAATGTGGACCCATTTAACAGGCATCTTTCCTGAAAGAGCGCTATATCCTTTCAAGGAAACTGGACAAATTCTGGTGAGGTTCCTCAGACAGGCAGTAACAGAGTTCTTGGACATACTTTACTTTCATATCACTGAAGTGAGTACGTTCAGCAGTGCAGCAGTTTGATTTCTAAGAACATGCCAGCTCTGTCACACATGTTTTCATCTGCACTGGAAGTCACAACGAACAAGAGAACAACCTCTCTCAGTTGCTCAGGATCACTTCATCAACAAGATGATTTCCCATGAATACTGAGTTCATATTTCCAAAACTGAATACAGCATTTGCTGTCTACTCCTCTGCCAGCTAACAGTTTCAAGCCCTGCCTTGATATCCCAATCCTATCTTTTACTAGCTGAAGCTTCTGACTTTCTGTTGTCAAGAAGTTTTAATAGCTTAAACATGACTTGATCGTTTGGAAGTTAAAAACTAAACATTTTAAACAAGACTAGTTAATACTACTTGTTAAATTTATAATGCTTACAGCAAGACTAATATGACTTACTTTGGCAGCATCAAAGATCTTCATGACAGCAGTAGAAATTTCAGGTCCTATGCCATCTCCTGGGATTAAAGTTACTGTTTGTACCTAGGTATAGAAATATCAGTAGCACAACAAATGAATGCTTGTTTTCCATGAAGAAAACATTTTCATGTGTTGTAAGAAACAAGGAACTAGAAAAGGAAGTTTCAGTTACCAAATAAGCACTATGAAGAATAGCAGCACTGGACAGAAGGAAGGATGACTGGCTTGCTTGCAAAGGCAGCATGCAGATATGTTGAGAAACTGTTTAAAAATCTGCCTACTATCTACTGCTATTTCAAAACACAGAGGTTTAACCTGAAGGGCAGGTTCCTGATCAGTATTCCTTGAAAGAAACCATCTCAGCATGCTGCCTTCTTGAAATCTGGAGGAGGTACTATTACCTAGTTATGGCTCTGTTACCCGTATGTCTCCAGTATTAGCAACATGCTGCATAATAGTGACACATGCTAGAAATGATGACAATTATGAAAAGCTTAAAAAAAAAATAATCTCATGCATATCCGAACTTCTCATGTAACTTCCTTAAAATCTCAGACCCATTTTTAACAATACCCAGTTATTTTCCTTCTATAATGTTCTCAGTCTTGTTTCTTTTATCATCATCAAACAGATGAACTAAATTGCACAGCTTAGGCTCACTGAAAAACGGGAAGAAAGTACTCTGCTCTGATCAAAAAAACATAAATAGATGATGATCGCCACTCTAATCCTCCATGCTCCCAACAGTTTTGTCAGGGCTCATTATTACCTACCAGAAAAGGCAGCTCAGATGCAGCATCAGAACTAGAATCAATTCACAAGATCTACTTCCATCCTGCTCCACACAAAATACTCAGAATCTCAATATACACTGACTGGTATTTTAACAAATGTGAGCCAAAGAAATTCACTGTACGTAACAAAAGCAGCAGAGCTTCAGGTACAAGAACCCTGCTGTTGAGCAAGCACATAGCTGATGGAATGCCTCAAGACTAGTTTTGTGCTGTCTTAGGACTCCAACTGAGCCAGAGAATGTTTCACCTGACACAGGACTATGGTAAAAACAGAACCAGGGTGTCCCACCTTCTACAATCTTTTTAAACTGTAGAAGATAGGAGCAACCCTCAGTCTTATTTCTAGGTCTTCTACATGCTGTTCTACAAAGCTTATAATTAAAAGCCACAGTTCCTCTTTAAAATTAAGTCCTGCTTAAGGGTGCATGCTGTGGTGCTGAGCCCTGCCCCTGCCTGAGCCATTTTGAGGGCAACCTTCACTGGAAAATAAAGGCCCATGGGCACTTCAAACACATACACGTGAAGAAGGTAAAACATCTACAAGGAAATATGCCACTAGCATCTAAAATACTTCAAAGAGAACCTTGAGAAGGCATAACTTTAAGCGTGAGGTATTCTAAAAGCAACAGTAAACGTAGTGACTGAAGGGAAGTCTGCAAAGGAAAGAAAATGAGAAGCTTCTCAACAATCTGTCTCCTTTGCCCAATGCCAGATGAGTTTCAGAAGATGGCTCATGTCCAGATTGTGTGAAAAGTTTTCATACCACTTCTGTCTTTTGCTGGAGCCTTTTGTATTATCACTTAGGTTTTAATATGCGATTGCCAAAGACAGTAAGCCAATACGAATCCAGCATGGCATTAAGAGCATGTATGCTCCCTTATTTAGGCCTTATTTCTTGAGAATGTAAAAATAACATTGATATTATAAAAGTAAATTTCTGAACCACTTTCTTGAGAAACTTCTTAAAAAGAAAGGAAAAATGGTACTATTATACTCACAGCACTACTAAAACTTCTGGTCACCTGTTTTTGGTTTTTGAAAGCACCTAGCAATCGAGAAACCTGCAAGGATATAAAACAAGAAGATGCTATTTTATTACACAAATGGGATTTTTCAAAGTTAACAGTATTGCAGCAAATCTGCATTTTAAAATCATATTGCTTCAAACCCCCTATCTCAAGTTAGTATAAAGATCCAGATGAAACACGAGTAAGGAACACTTTGCCATGTTACTCTCTAACCTTCTGTGCACTGGCACATCCTGGGATTATTCTTAGCACAAGGTAAACCCAGGATGCACCATGCCTGAGGTGAGGTAAGGTTATGGCACAACAGTGAGTCCTTGCATACTACGCATTTGAAGTAAGGTTGCGGTAACTCTGACTAAACAGAGGATATCCTAAGGATTAAGATTCATGGAAAGCCAAGTGAAAAGTCAAACACTTTCACTAGCAATAGGGTGGACAGTGTATGCATTCTAAGTAATGTTTTAAAAACTGCTTTGCATTAGTGTCACTTCTTCCATTCAGACTGCGGTGGGTTTTGTTCTTCCACCTTCCACACCAGCAGGTTTTGTGCTGTTGCCTTCTGTTTGCCCAACAATATTTAAAAAGCAGAATTACATGCACATTAAAGACAAAATCCATCACAGCAACAAGTCGACACAGCCTAGTCAAACAATCGCTCCTTCTGACACCTGAATATTCCAAACTGGCGTTAAGCTTCACAACTGGGATGGTATCTCAGCCTGAGCTCTTGCCTGGCTGAGCACCACACACAAAATCCCTAGTTGTACCAGTACCAATACTGAAGTGCAGAGAAAACATAGCCTCCCAACCTTACCCTCCTCTCCAGGGTTTTCATGCTTCTGGGACTTAGGAGTCAGAAGACTTCCAGTGCCAGCACTTGGAGGACTTTGCCACATTCCTGTCTGCAGCTATCAGGCTAGACTGGAATGTGTTGGACAATTTGTACTCCTCTCCAATCTCTTATCATTACTGACACATATGCTTAAACATAGCTGTATGGCAAAGGGAGCAAACCATGTTTTCACTCACAGAAACAATTTGAAACAATGCAATTCTCAGGGATGTTGTAATGAATGCTGTGGGAGAAGTAATTTAAGCTAGAATTTATTTTTACTTGTGACCTGACATGACATGTAGAAGGTCATTGCAACAGGCAAGCAAGGTTCATCGCAGCAAGCCATGAATCTGAGGCAGCAGCTGAAGCGATTAAATGAAAGCACTGAATACACAAGTGTAAGTGCCCTCATGGTACAGTTCCTGCATGCACAGTCAGGATTCACATTCCAGAGTAGCCCTGGAAAGGAACAGTTGAGCTTGCCAGAAATCCTGGGCCTGGTACATCACACTTCAGTTCAACATCTGGAATGCTAGCAGAGATCAGGCCAGAAAGACTTGATGTGTTCTGCCATTAAACCCTCTTGCCAGTTCTTCCGCATTTCAGCAGACATGAAGTGGAGCTTCTGCAATGACTTGGCCCCCACGGGCTATTATTATTTTATATTATTTAAAGGCGCTAAAGCAATGCCATTTACTAAAGGCAAAAAGCAGCGCCGCAATAGGGCTGCATCTCCGAACATCTGGACTCAGCAGATCCCCGAGGGGAGGCCAGAAGCCTGCCGAAGACAGTACCAGGCACTGCCACAGCAGCCTCCGTAGTGACAGGCACGGCACCTCCTTCAGGGACAGGGACCCGTCCTGCGGCCTTCGCTGTGGGAACGCAGGGCAGGACAAGCCCGGCTGCAGGCACACCATGCCCGTCCGTTGCCGCCGGGCCCGGGCCCCTCGCGGCCTGCAGTGCCGTGACCTCTACGGCACGACCTCCCGGGCCCCTCCGCGGCCCTTCCCCTGGGCAGCAGCGGCCGTTGAAGTAACGGCCCGCCCGACACCCACCCGTGGCGGGGCTCCGTCCTGGGGATGAGGGAAAAGCGGGCCCGCCAACCCCGCCGCCCTCGGCGGCGCTGCCCGGGCCCGGCGCCACCGCGACCTTGCAGGCGATCGCCCCCGCGGCAGCACCGCCTCGGGCGTCACCGAGCCGCGGCCAAGGTCACAGGCGCAGCCCGGTCTGGCGCCCGCCCCCAGGGCACACGGGTAAGGTGCTTGTCCCTGCTCCCCGCCGCTTACCGCCGGCATCCACGCGGCCGCGGCCATGATGCTCCCGGGCACCGCGGGTCGCTGAGGCCCGAAAACACCCGCGCCCGCCGCGAGACCGGAACCGGCGCGCGGAGAGCGGCAGGCCCCGCCCCCGCAGCCGTGTGGCCCCGCCCCCGGCGGTACCTCAGCTCCCTCCGCGGCGCCTTGCGGCCCGGCATGTTCTCCTCTTCCCCTTTTGGGTGAGGGGAGCCTGCATTCCAGCGCCCCGCTGAGGTACCGCGGCCCGGCCCGGCCCGGCCCTGCCCGGCCCTGCCCGGCCCTGCCGGAGGGGATGGTGCCGGAGAGCCACCGCTCTCGATGGTGCCTGAGGCGCTGCGGAGAGCCCGGTGCGTGTCTGAGGAGGTACCGTTATGGCATCTGCATAGCGGCGTTCCAAAGCGGTTCAGAAGCGTTTGGTACCGCTGTAAAATCTTAGCTTCTAGACCTGGGACGTCTATGGGAAGGAGCGGTTGTCATTAAAAAGCAACAGTCTCAGGTATTTGTTGCAGCAGATTAAAAAAATGAAGCAACCCATGCGCTTTAAAGTGTCAAACCCAAAGCTGTCGGTGTAGGGGCAGTACAAAACTTGGGGTTTGTCTCGTTATTTGTTAGCATGTTGCTGATACTGTGTGTCAGCTGCAGGCTCCGCCGAGGCTGTGGCGGCGGGAGACCGCGGGCCATGCAGCGCGCCTTCCCGAGCGCCAGGGCACAGCAGTAGTCTGCGGCCTTGAAGTCCTGCTTCAAGCAGCCATGGAATCCTTGTTCTGTGTGCTTGAGGGTGGTAAGGGAGCTTGGAATGTGTTATATCCCTTGGAGAGGGGCTTTGGACAAGGGCCTGCGGGGACAGGCCAAGGGGAATGGCTTTAACCTGCCCGAGGGGAGACTGAGATGAGCTCTTAGGCAGAAGCTCTTTCCTGTGAGGGTGCTGAGGCACTGGCACAGGGTGCCCAGGGAAGCTGTGGCTGCCCCATCCCTGGCAGTGCTCAAGGCCAGGTTGGATGGGGCTTGGAGCAAGCTGCTCTAGCGGAAGGGGTCCCTGCCCGTGGCAGGGGTTGGAACTGGATGATTGGGTTGGATGGTTCCTTTCCAACACAGACCAGTCAGATTCTATATACTTGAGACTAAAGCACCAAGCTAGAACCGAGGCAGTCTGAGCTCAGACCTATGGGAATAATCACTTCATCTGACTTTTAAAAGACTTTTGTACCTGTGAAATTGTGGTAACAGTTCCACCTTCCGTATGATCTGCTCAGAGAGCGGTGTGGTAGGCTCGGCTGTCTGAGTAATAGTGTTGCCATTGCTTCCAATCTTGTTCAGTCAATTTATGTCAACTGTTTCATTATCAATTCAAACAGTTACAGCAATAAATTAGGCTCTCAGCTTTGATTACAAAATCAAGACTGGATTTCTAAACTCAGTGGCTGCAAAGGGTGATATAAAATATGAGTCTAATATCTCCTGGAAGTTTAAGCTTAAAAGACATTTTAAAAGAAAGCCAAAACTAACTTTGGTTTCTTATGCTTTGGCAACATAAAGCTTCAGGTTCTGTCTTGGTATAATTTAACGCCAGGTTTTGGCGATAGAGTCATCAGATTACTTGCAGCTTTTCCATTTACTTACCTCTTACCTGTATGTCTTACCTCCACTTACCTCTGTCCTGTATGTGCCTGAAAACTAAGGACTGTGTGTTCACATTTTGTCTGAAAAAGTGTGAGTAGAAGTTCTCAGAACTGACATTTGACAATATACAGCATTAGTAGCCCCTATTTTCTGGGGGGGGGGGTGTGTGGGGGGGTGTGTTCTCTGCTTTTTTGCCTCACCTTTTGTAAGTTGAGGCTTGCTCCTATCTTGGATTGACCTACGATGTTTCTAGGACACAGTAGCTGAATGTTTGATGTTTTTACTGTACTGCTTCTCACTATCTGTATACATCTGCTCCACTCCTTTTTTAATAATTGTTGTTTCTTTAGCCATGATGCTTACCAAAGGACTCCATGGATGTTAAGTTGATTATGTGCTATACTAAGCTGACCAGTGCATACCTGCTATTTTCTGGCTGTATCTGCATTTACTCTGTATCTGGATTTACTCTTAGATTGTGAATTGAGGGGAGAGAAGAAATTCTATTTTACATATATTAACAGCTGCTGCAGCAGGTTTCTGATCTATGTCTTACAGGTGGTACCATAATAATGGTACAATACTATGCCATTAGCAGTAGCTAGTTTGGATCTGTTAGAGAAGGGCTGAACAACGCAGTAGTTATTTTGCCTGGAAACAGATGCCTATGTAGAAGTAACAGTAGTTTCTTTCCCCTGGTCATCAGTGTACTGAGACTCTATATGAGGAAATAAATTCAATTTAGTCTGCACAGGAAACCATAATTTTTTTTATTAATTTGTCCCTGATGCAAAGCATTATCTTTTATAAAGCATCTTTAAAAAGTTACTTCTTTTTAACTTGAAATTAGGCTTAATGAAATGCAGTCAGAAACCTCCATCTTCTAAGATACTGTATTTTGCTTACGTATTTTATTAAGATAGAGGGATAACATTATAAATACATCAAATTTAGCACAAATTCTGTTTGTTTGCTTTAGCATTGAAAACTCTCTACAGAAAGGTTTGGATCCTAATAACAAATGCAGTTAAGGCAGGTAGTTTGCACCTTTCATGTGCTTGAGGGCTATGAGTTTTGCATCTTCTTCCAGCTCTGTGTAGTCATTTGTAAGGCAGCGCTTGGTCCCATGAAGCATTCTCTTACAGCCCAACACTTCAGACAAGTCTAGTGGGGTCTAAGCATTCTCCTGTTGCATGTGTGCTGGAAAAGCAACTTTCTTACGTACTGCAGTAGCATCAAACTCTCTTTTTCACTTATTTTAGGATTTGTACTTTGTAACTGTATATTTACAGTTAATCTTGTATTTATGGTTTGCAATAACTATTAAATAAGAGGCAAATTTTGACAGTGTAGCTATTACAATGGTAATGTTACTAAGCTCTGTAGCATCTTTATTTAAGGATTTAACTCACAAGCATTTTAATGGCTCCACAGCACCTAATGTAGGTGAACATTATCATTCCTCATTTACCTGTGAGCAAACAGAATTGTGAATAGCTTTAAAGTAAATAAAACAGCCCCAAAGTCTCATGAGGAATTTCTACAGTGTCAGTGGAGGACAGAGCTTCTGCTTTGTAATCAGGGCAAACAATGACCACCATTAAAGCACAGTCAAATTCTCACTGCATAATTCACAGAGGCAATTTAATAACCTCCAACGTGTCTGTTGGAGGTTATTGCACCAGGTTAAAGTCACCTGGTGCCATGGCTAGCAACAGTTCATAACAGGGCACTGCATTGAGGGTGCTCAGAAGTGCTGGCATGATTTGTCCCACTCCCTGAGCTGTGGCTGTGGAAACAAGTTCAGAGTGCAGCCTTAGGTGGGTGTTGAGCCATTCATTGCAGCTGATGGACATCTTGCTATAAAATGCTAAATCCTGTGTATGTGGTTGGTAGCAGATTTTTGCTCCATGAATTAAACTGTTAAAGCAGATGAACAGTGACTACTTCACCATGTTCTCTGGTATGATGGACAGTATAATGGCAAGACTACTGTATATATACTGTCCTCCTTAGCAGACTTAGCCACTGACTGCAAGATGCCCTGTGCTATGTATTGCTAATAGCTTAAAATCACTTGCTTTGGCAAACAGAGAAACTGAAACACAGTCAAGTGTGATGGAAGGCTGACAGCATTAAGGTCAGGTCTTGCTGTGCACATAGAGAAGTATTGATTTGTTGCAGTAGCTTACACTGGGAGTAAATATTGCTTAACACGCAACCGGCAAATAAAACTGATCTTTGATAAATACAAACAGATAGAAGAAGTAAAAAAGAGAAAACTGAAAGATTATCTGATCTTTGATACATACAAACAGAAAGGAGTGAAAAAGAGTTCATACATTATACTGTCTTTAAATTTTACCCAGTTATTATAGTAATACAATTTTGCAGTGAAATAGTTAACATTATAGCATGTTTGAGAAGAGCTAGCTAATATAGTGAACCCTCAGCAATCAGTATTTTAATCCTCTTATTAAAAACCTAGACACTTTTATTTACTAATAAAAGATGCTCTCCAGAGCGCGGAAAGCAGACTTTAAAAAACACTTTATTTTCTGTCTGTCTACCCCGTCGGTGCAGTTCCTTTGGTAACCTGAGTCTTTCTTTTAAAGCAAGAACTTCTAACTCTTTTAAAGCAATTAGCTCTTTTAGCCATACCAGTTTTCCTGATTAAAAGATATGGAACCCAATGCCCCCCTGGTGTCAATTCCCTTCTGTATAATGGCGTTAAAGATAATTTGGCCATTTATATTTAATCTGATTTCATAGACAGGCAGCTTGAATTGGGTGGCTGTGAAGAGAGTGCTATTTCATCGGATCACTTGGCTAAGTATTGGTCTGATCTCACTGAGAACAGCTGCTAGCTCTTGCCTTTCAGTGCCACCAGATAGTAGATAGGAAACACGCTTCATTAGATCAGTAATCACCAAAGCCAATGATAAAGCTCATTCAGAGCTGAGGATGTGTATGAACTTTCAGAACTGCAAAAGCTTTTAATCTCAAATTATTCTGAAATTGTCCTGCGGTATTTTCTACTGGTAGAATCCATTTCTTTCACTGTTAAAATGCTGATGTCTGCTTATTGCTAATTTGCCTTGGTGAAAACATTCTTATCCCAAGCTCTTTATTCTGCGTCTATGGTAATACCTTGTGGTTTTGATGCTCAGGGCACTGTTGGTTTGCATTGAATCAAATCTGCATTTCTAAATGTTACAATCTAAAGAAGTTGGCTCTTGCAGCAGTCTGTGGTTCAGCACTTCCCAGGAGGTTTTGAGTACATATCCAACACCTCATAGGACAGTTTTTAGTTTGTATACAATAGATTTACTTTCAGTATTATTTTAAAATGTTTGTTCTGTGTTCTTATATGTGAAGGCAAATTGAATTGCTGTTTACCCAATGCTGTTGGTCAGGATCATTAGAAGCTGTAGGAAAAAGGACAAGGTGTTTTTATTAGAGACGCTAACTTACTGAGGGGATCATGGCCATTGGCAGAGCTGTACATAGGAATACGTACGTAGGAAGAGTTTCACTCTCTCCTGGCGTGCACAAACTGCAAGTGAGCAGTCCAAAGAAACTGACTCCAGCACACCTTTCCTCTCTGTTTCCATTCTTTGCCGCTCAGCCTTCTTTCTTCTCTTACTTATAAGAGCTTATCCTTCTGCAGATGTTCGATAACTATTCATTGTGTCTGTCTGCATCTCTTACACGTTCTTTTTTTTCTTTTATTTTTAAGATTTCCCCGGCAACCTGGAATCACTGAAGTTGAAATACACTGTGCCCTCTAGCGGTACCTTTTACCTTTGCTTTAGGCTGCAGTCACAGCCTTTTCTCTTTCCCGCTCTGCTTGCTTGAGCCTCAGGAGTCAGATTAGTGTCTGTCTAAACTACTTTAATCCTCCGGATTTATTTATTTTTCAATATATTTATTTAACGTGAGAAGGAATGCTTGCATTCACTGGTATACCTGGGAGTTTGGCACTTCTGGTAGTGAGCTCACATCACTGATAGTCGGGGCTCTTTGTAACCACAGTGTAGATAAGCATTTAGCGTGGAGCCCCCGCGGCATGTTGTGGGGATGCTCTGGACGCTTTGAGCCGCCTTCCAGCTGTGTTTAACATCAGCAGCTGCGTGCAGGTTAGATCCAAGCAATGACAAGGACGTGCTTTTATCTGTGGGGAGAGCAGCTGCAGAAACCTTGTCTTTGATAATCCATTTTGCTAGTTATTAGGTTTGCGCTGTGTGCATGTAATACGACTGCGCTGCCGAGGGCATTGGGTGACGCAAAGCTGCTCTGAAACGTGAAGGTGCCGAGCAGGAGAGTCCTGAAGTGAACAAGGGAGTGTGAACTGAGGCAATAGAGAGCTGATTTCTTCTAGTACTGGCTCCTCGGGGTTTATGGTTTAAAAGCTCTGTATGCCTCTTAAGAAAGCATCTGAAAAAGGGGGGAGAATGGAGAATGGCATCACTGCTTTTGGGTGACACCTGCATGTGATTTTAACACCTTCATTCCTGGCACACTCAAGTCAAGCCTTTGCAAAGATTTCCTGATCCTGCGTCCTTCCTCATTGGACAGGTACAGCCAAAACCAGTTCAATGCAGGCTTTGGGATTTTTTTCAGCACTCTCAAGGAGTATACGTGCCCTAAATGCCTACAATACAGAGGAATCCAACTACTTCTAATGGGATGTATTTGCATAGAGGAAGAACTCCTCATTTAAGATGGGTAATAAGCAAACAATATTTACTGATGAACAGCTAGATGCCTACCAGGTAAGATATCTCAGTTTGCGTTAGGGGCAGGGAAGGAGCAATCTTCATATATTCATGGCTTTGGGTCTTGTTTGTTTGGTTTTGGGGGTGTTTTTTCCAAAAAATAAATAAAAACTTCATTTGTAGCCTGTGTGCCTGTATTCTACTGTTCCTTCCAGCAACTGGAATAGTAGTCTAAGGCAGAGTTGTTGAATATACTTAGTTTAATTCCCTTCTCTGTATACAGAGAAAGGAGTCAAATCCTCAATGTCTGGACTAGGAAGCATGATAAAAAAGACTGATCAGCTTGGAAATGGCAGTTTTTAGTAGAATCTTTCTACTGAGCGTTTTGTAGAGAAGAAAATGTAGCAATAACCTCTTTTTCTCTCCTTGATGCCTTTGCTGACAGCAGGGGGGAGGGGAGGAAGGTGTTGTCTAAATTAACTTCTCCAAAGGATAAGTCCTAGAAACATGCTTAATGTAATTCCAAAATAGGTATCCTTATGCTTGCATCCATTCCTGGGTGACAGTTTCTTACCTTATAAAAAAAAGTATTTGTTTTATGTCCAGGCGTGTCATTTTGGTGGTACTTTATTTACTTCAAGTCACATCAACTGGATTTCTCATAGGGTAAAAAAAGTAACAATTTCCAGTTTTCAGTCAGATTTTGGCACACCACAGATCTGACTGTGATGGGTTGCAGGAAGCTTGCTGCACAGTGGGCGTCTTGAATAAGTTTCTTAAAATACGGTGAGGCAATCTATGGAATGAAGTGTGCTGAAGGAGGAGGCAGCTTGACAGGGCTGGCTGCACTGCTCTGTTCTCTTATGTGAAGCAATAAACATAGAACTAACAGTTCGGGAAATCAAGGTTTAGTTTAACTTCTGATAATGAAGGGACAGATCTAGTGCATACAGAAGGAAGTAACTTTCTTTTTACCTTCAGGATCTGTGGCTCAAGACCTTGAAGTAGAAACTGACTTTAAATACCAGTTTTCTTTGGAGTTACTGCTAACATGGACTTCTCACCGGTGTAGATATTTAGTCACAGAGAGTCAGGCTAGGGTTATTTACTAAAATGCTTTAAAATGTCTGAAAATAAGGCATAAATTAAATGCTTTTATGAAATGCCCATCCTTTTTCTTGCAAATTTTCTTCTAGGAAATGCAAAAATGGAGCTTCTTTAATTTCCACTTGGTCGCACATGTCACCCTCACCAGCAGTCTGACACTAATATATTATGTTAACAGTCTTAGACTTGGTAGTCTAAGATCCAAAAAGGCTTTTTGTTTTTTTACATCCCTGCTAGACAGGCAAGAGAGAAATCAAAGATCTGTAAAATACCAGTGTCTGTCTTCCTACTAACAATGAAACTGAACACAGAACAGAGCACAACTGCAGTGAGACAAAACAAAATCCAAATGTAATTAATGTTATCTTCTTGACATAAACTGGCAAGTGCAAAAGCTGAAATGTCATCCCTAATTCACTACTCTTCATGTAGAAATTGCCTTTCCCTAATGGCTTTTGCAGCCCCTGCCTTTCATATGCTGGGTAATTGATCTCGAAGCCTGGCAGCAGTTAGGTCCGGTGGATTGAGTTAGCCTGTGGGATTTCTCTGTGGGATTTCTCTGTTACAGGCAGACTTGTAGTTCATTACTATAGTGCTAAGTAATTTTTGAATAGTAATATCACTTGTTATATATGGTAAGTACAAAAAGATAAGAAGTTTGAGGACAAAAACCTCTAGAATTTGTTAGGAAGGAATATTAGCCTCGTGCTGTGAACAGTCAGATCAAGACCTCAGTTGGAGGGTGGTTAGCCTCTAATCCATTAGTTCCTGCATACCTCCTCATACAATCTCTTAATGCAGGGATCCTGGGCTCACTGCTGTAGCCATTGACATGCAGAGCTCTCCCCTCTCCTGGTTTCTGGGGCACTGTGTGGTTGCTGTAGTACAAATGCAGCTGTTTGACTTGGAGCCTGCTGTCTTAGGTGGCTTTTTCTCATTTGTGGAATTACTTCAGACTAGAAAAAGAGAGAATGAGGTAATGGTTCCATAATGTTTAAAATGCAGGTTTTTAACTTCTTGACCCAGCAGTTGAGTTGCCAGGTCCTCTGAACCAAGCACTATGTGCCAGCATCTGAGAACCAGGCATTCGTATGTCTGTAAGTTAGTGCCGTTCTCTTCACAATAATATTCAGGGCTACAGAATCCATAGTATCAGGATGGCAGAAGCAAAACAGTCGACTCCATCTGTTTTTGTAATATAGTTGTTTGGGTTTTCTTGACTTCCCCCCAGTTTCTGTTAGAAGCCTCTTCAAAATTTCACTCACCTCATGGTTAGACTTAACATTTCTTTATCAGAATGTATTTCTGGCCGTTGTATTATCTGGTTGTAACTTCTACCATTTCTGTCTTCAACAAAAATTGCTCTGAGCTTATAGCACCTAAATACTACTTTAGTAATGATGTGTTTATTATTTTATTTTTTTAATGCATGATGTTTTAAGCTCTTGATCCATAGGAGATGCTGCGATGGAGAACTGAGACATTTGTGCACTTAAAGTATGGTAAAACCATATGAAGGCATTAATTTTCAGGAGTAAAGATTAAGCTGCAGACAAACCACCTGCTTGAAGAGCTAGCTTGCATAAATCTCAAATCATTAATATAATATTAAATAAATAGATAACCTGATTTGATTTGTCTTAAACTTCTTGAGATGCCTATGCATAAACTGGTTTTGCATGTAAACTATCATATAGAAGAGGCACTCCTTAGCAGAACCTTTACATTTAAATTAAGTAATTGTAAAGCTGGTTACCCACAAAATTACCTCAATTTCTTTAGTAAACAAGTGTTTTTAGTACTCTTCATTATGACTTGTGATTGGTGGCCAGTTGAAACTGTAAAAGAGATGTGCAGTAGGAATTGATAATACTAAACCTCTCAGCTTCTTTTATATGAAATAGAGGCAAATTAAAGACTAGAAAGCTGCAGATCTCTGAACACCTTGGCATGTCACCTGTTATTAAGATCATATTATCTGTTACTAAGATAGTGTTCTAGTTGGCAGCTCTTTTGTTTTCATAAGTTTAGTTAAGTGTTTGGAAATCAGGCTTTTGTAAGTTTTGGTTTCCTCATTGAGTTTCACTTTATTTTAAAAGTTACCCTCGAAAGGAAATGAATTCTCCTGGGGACTTGTGACTTTTATGCCTTTAGAGTACGTGACTATTTGTTGGTGTGGTTTGGTTTGGCTTTGTGGGTCAGAGTTTTACTTGTTTGTTTGTTTGGGTTTTTTTTTACACAAAATGCAAAATCTAACCAAGGTCTGTCTGGGGAAGAGGTTAAGTTTTAATCAGAAAAAAACATGTATTTCATTGCAATCAAAGAACATCTTAAAATTAAGCTTTTAAAAGAAATTATCTTTAGACAGTGTTCAGGGTTTTGGAGGTCAAGTCTCATAACAAGTAAAGAAAATGAACAGGCGTTTTAGGGTGCTTTGAGTGATGCTCTTTAAAGATACTTGAGGCAATACAGTGGCAGCAGAGCTGTACGCTGGCCTCGGTGCACTGCATTTCTCACTGAGAAGCAATTCCATTGAGTAGGAAATGCACAGAAGCTGTGCTTGGGCTATGGACAAACCCCTCCATTGCTTGATTAAACTCATTGATCAAGTGTAACCTTTTCTGGGGTTACTCAAATAAGCGGTCTGCATTTTACATAAATTTGGTTGTAATTTTTTTCCTAATAGGCAGAACCTAGAGAATGTAGAGCATAAATATTTTATATCAGATATTACTGGGCTTATTGCAAGCTGTTTCTTTTTGTATTTGGTCATTTGTGGGATTAAGCCCTCTATGTTATTTAATGCGCCCTCAAAACAAGCGATGTTTACCCTGGCTGTCTTCTAGACAGTATTGCAATAAAGGATTTTATATGAAATAATGACTTGCTTTTTTTATACAAGGATTTGTCTATGGCAGAGCTAACTGTTTTCCTTGTACTAAAATTCTAGTCAAAGTGGGATTCAACTGCATTTCATGAGAATTATGCGATACCAGATAAAACAAATTAGGTTATGATCTGCCAAGAAATGCCCCTTATAAAGTGAAACTAGGTCATCAAGTTATCTTTTGATTTTAAAAAGCTGTGCTTGACTAAATCAGGGTCTTTGGTGAAAATGAACCCTTCACAAGAATAGAGAAAGTGTATTCATCACAGGTTCCCCAGGATCACCTGTAAAACATACTTTTCAGTTTGATAGAGTATTACTGTTGATGTGCAAATTTAATTGGCATAATAATGGAACAAGGGTTTTTTGCAATTATTCTTTAGTCAGCTTTTGGTTTCATGTTACCATCTGATGTGTATATATAGAGCAAAATCACATTTGTTGACAATTTGCTTCTTTGTCCAACTCTTTCCTTCCATGTGGTGGTATAAATATATAAACTGGTTCCTTACAGCTGCAGATTTTGTCTCTTAAGACTCAGTGGGTGTGTTAGCTGTTCTGGCTGTAGTTGTAAAATGTATATGATTACAACTAAAGATGGGCTGGATGTTACCATTTCCATTGACATTCTTTTTTAAGATAGCATTATTTTTTAAGATAGAAGTCCATACACCAGTACTATTACTGAATACTAACTATTAGGATTTTTTTAGTGTTCAAATCTGGGTTCACTAAAGAACTTGCACAGCTATGAGATTCAAAGGCTGGTGTTAGTCTCACTGATACCCAGTGACTCTTTATATATATTTATATCTTCACAGTGATCACAGAAGCAAAGACTTTTTAGCAGGGCCTGTTGCAATAGGATATGGGGTGATGCTTTTTACTAAAAGAGGAGAGATTCAGGGTGGACATGGGGAGAAAATTCTTTACAATGAGACCAATAAATATTGGCACATGTTGCCCAGACAGGTAGTGGATGCACCATCCCTGGCCAACTTCAGGGCCAGCCTGGATGTAGTTCTGGGCAACCTGATGTAGTTGAAGATGTCCCTGCTCATTGCAAGGAGGGATTAGACTAGAAGACCCTTCCAACCCAAACTATTCCATGATTCTATGTATTTAAGATATTAACATTTAAAATGCTGCAATCTTCGGTACTTCTTATTTCTTAAAAGCTGCTCAGTCAGGTAGCTATATGGATGTAATCTGTCTTGCCTTGAGGATATTCCCGTTAGTCATTGGTTTACTTTATCTGTGGATTGCTGGCTTTTGTTTGAGACTGTTTTTCTAATTCAGAGTTATTTTTGTGCTGCTAAGAGTGTTTTATATTATTTCCTTATTTATAAAGCTTTCCAATGGAGCCGTTGCAGGACCAGAATAAACCTGCCTTTATGAAACATTATGTATAAAAGGGAGAACAGAGAAGTGTTGTCTTAGAGAAGAAATATGCATCTAATGGGTTTAAGAAATAGTATTTCACAGGAGCTTTGCATACTTAAGCATTGCTAGTCTTTCCTTCTACTGTTACTTTTTCCTGTTTTTCTTGTTTTCTGCAGAGAAGTGTTGTGCTTATCTATGTGAAATTAGTTTTATTGAAAACTGTGCTTTATGCACACCAATACTTGCTTCCAGAAGTGCTAAGTGATAATCTTTGATTCTGCTGCCATTCACAGACTGCATGCTTATGCTGTGATCTGGAACTGGCAATCTATCCAACAGCACAAATGAATGTGTTCTGATTCTGGAGTCATACCTCCTGTTACTCTGTATATGCACACTGTACATGAAGTTAAGTATCAGCATTCTCAGAGCAGTTATCTCTAATTCTTTGTTGTTGTTTAAATCGCCGTAGAACTAAACATAAAGCAGAACCGAGCTAGGAGTCTGCCATCAAGTCTTGCAGACTAGTGGAAAAGGTAGTGGACCACCATTTCACTCTGTTCCTGTTTTGTCCAAAACCTGCGTTCATCTGACATAGGAAATCAAAGAATAAAACTCTAACAGCATGTACATTCTGTTCTTTTATAAAGTAAATTCGAAGAGCAGAGACCATTAACCCTACTTTACAAGTAATGTTGAGTGACTTGCAGAAAGTCACATTGCGAGCCAAGGCAAAGCCACCCATGGCATGTGAATACACCAGCCGTCTGTCTCTTTCTCTGATAAGTATTTTAAGAGGCAGTTAAGCACCTAAATGCCAAATTTGAGAGCCAAGTCCCATTATATAAGCCAATGAGCTCACTGAAATCAATGGGAATTTTTCTGTTTGATTTGTTTTATTCACTTTGCTAAATATAAGGAAGTTAAGTGGGTAATTGCAGATGGGTTTAAGTGGTATCTTACTTCCAAAAAACCAGCAGTGATCCTTTGTCACACTTGTAATTAGCTTGATTATTAAGGGTACAAGGCAGACTGAGTGGGGATGGTTGACCTTAGAAAAGAGCACGTATTTTCTCAGGGGCCGCAGGAGATGATCTTTCAAGGTGAAGCTCTATTCTCGATAACCTAAAACCTACAAGGAGCATCCTGGTAGCATAAGTTTTTCAGGCCATTGTATAGCATTAGAAATAAAAAGCAGTGATTGTCCAGATAAATTCTTGCCAGGAATCTTGAATTGATAATGATTATGGAAACTCTGGTAACATGTTTGTGTTTTTCAGTATTTAGTTTGTGCTTTTCTAGCAGGATTCCCAGTGGCTTTAGTGTCCAGACAGAATAGAGAAATTGATTTTTAAGGTTATAACAAATTCAAACACAGTCCACATAATAGCAAATGTCTGCTTTTTTTGTCCATGATATCTCTGGCTTGAAAGAAGATGAATGTCATTGCATGCATAAATGGTAAATACTTTCCAGGATCCACTTCACCTTTGCCCATGAGGTAGTTATTTTACATGTTAGTTTTCTATTTTCTGTCCACCAGTGTGTATTTTCTGTATGAATGAAGGAGCCAGAAGAAAATTGGATGAATCACCTCCGTGTTTCTTTCCCCAAAAGTCTTTAATTAAATTGGAATTAAACTGCGGAGTTCCAGCAACTATAAAATGTAATTATGTTATTTAGACCTTTCTTCCATCATGACATTAATCTGATTTAGGGCAGTCCTGCACCTCTCTCTTTCCTGCCACCAGTAGATACTTGTCTTAGCTTCATCTCTTGTTACCAGCACTACCGATGCTATGTTCTAAGCCACTAAAAAGAAATGGTTCGAGCTGGAAATGAGTCCATTTGCTAGGTTACTTTCCAAACACGTTAGTTCTTTCCTTTGGCATTGTCTGATGCAGTTATGCTACTCATTTGTGTGAAGTCTGAATAAAGGAAGAGGCAGAAATAATAATCTGGGAGAAGCAAGATGGATGGCTGGACTTCTCTTTCAGAGATCACTTGGAGCCGTGGCTTTCACATTACCCATTGGAGACCAGGCAGGCTTCTTAATGGAAAGATGTTTCTTGAGTGGTGTCTATAACTTTGCTGTGGATGGAAAGTATAGACCAGGTCACAATTAATTTGTGGTGCTCTGACCCTGAGTAGCTTTAAGATCTCTGCAAGTGGTCTGTGAAACCACTGTACTATTTTTTTGATATCCCCTCATCCCTGACACACAGTTCCATGTAATGGGCAAACATAATTGGAGCACTGCAGTCAGTAACAGTGGTTAGACAAATACTTGCAACTACTTCTGTTATAAAAGTTTCTGGTATCAGTGGGTTTTGGATTATGCACGCCAATACTTGCTTCCAGAAGTGCTAAGTGATAATCTTTGATTCTGCTGCCATTCACAGACTCATGCTTATGCTGTGATCTGGAACTGGCAATCTATCCAACAACACATTTTTAGTAAAAAAAATGTTTGATTAAAAAAACCCCTCGGACAATAGTGTTTGTCAAAGAATGATTCAGATTAAAACCAAATTCTGTGGATCTTGAGCATAACAGGTTTATGGTTTGCTCCCTTCCTGTGTCTTCCAATGGCATTTTGTCACTATTTCTGGAAGGCAAAGGATAACTTATCTTTTTCATCTTTATCTCCATTTGCATATCAATTCCCTGTCAGCTTCCTAGTTAAGTAAGAGTGTTTTCTCAAGTCTATATAATTACAAGATGATTGCTGCTGAGGGCATGAAAATTATTCGTGAGATTGCGCCTGCCTTTAGCTAGTAAGTGAAGCATCCTTAAGTGACAGTTTGCCCGTAAGTGTTGTGTGTGCTGGAATTAATGAAAACTTAACCAGCTGGCTCCTATTTCACTTTGTGCAGTTCCAGACAATGTGACATCGGTGTCAGCAGCTCTCAAGGTGCTTCCTATTATGCCTTGTAATGCTATTCTGCTACACAATACACTGAAGGAGGAGCTGCTTCTCCTGCCACATTATATGGAGGAGAGCAAGCAGATTCAATAATTGATATGATGCAGGACTGATAACATAGCTGGGTGCCTGAGACAAGCTGCTTGACTGCTTCAGCTAGCTGTGATCACTTCCTTTTCCCTTTCTTGGAAGAAACGGGCATTTAGCCAGAATGATAATCAGTTTAGGATAGAAATGTTTTTTCACTAGTTGACTGAAGAGCAGGACTAGGGGAGTCATACTACTTGTATGTACAACTTCCCAAGTCTGATGTTGTTGTCTTATATGGTATTTTTAAGTCATCTAGTGATATTTTAAATGTATCTACATTGAGGGAGGAAAAGTACTAAGAGCTGAATCCTTAGGCAAATGCCTTGTCACATCAGATGGGCCTGTGAAAGAAGTGGACAATCAAGAAGAATTTTGTGGTTTAATTGTTGCTCCACACACACATACATATACATATATACACACCTGCACCAGCCACTAGTTCTAAGACAAGAAGATGCATATTCTCTGAATTTATGACCTGAACAATGTTCTAAACTGGCCATCCAATATATCCTTGCTGCCAGTGTTCCTAGCTTCAAATGCAGGGCACAATATGCCCTAAATATATATTGGGTAAAATAGTGGGGATTAGAGAGTATGTCTGTTAATGAGATGGGACTGATTATTATTCCTCACAGCACCTGAATATATAATTGGTTGTGTGACTGATGCAGAAATACATGAATGCAAACTATTTTGCTGCTCATATTATGGTTCTTCTGTGAAGTATGTGAATTGTTCGAGCAAAACCCAGATGCTCATAAAGAGAATATAAAACCGGTGTAAATGCAGTCCCACCACAGAGCCATTTAGAATGCAAGTTAATGCCTGTAAGCTTCTCTTTCAGGTTCAGCCAGTTCTACTTTGCATTCTAGTAAGTTATTTCAATTTCTGTTGATACACAGGGGAGGCTGGACAGTTTGCCCGCTGTTTGGAACAGGGCCTTTCCTTTTATCCATGTTCCTGACTTGGGGAGTTTGCAGCCTTTGCCAGAGTGACTAGAGTGCAAAGTCACTGTTAGCAAAAAGAGTTAATAACTAATAAATCAGTGCATTATTTTTATTATTAATCAAGCATCTTTAATGGAGGAATACTCCAAGGTAGAAGATAGTTTCCTTTACCTATTAGTTACTTATAGCTTTCTAGATCCATTTATTGAATGTTTTTGGCATGTGGGTTACTTTTTGATTTACTTTTGTTTCTGGTCTTGTCATTCCACAGTGGAGAAATACTTCAGCAGCCTGTTGGTTTTGTTTTATTTTTCTCCTAAAGTTTCACATTAACAATATATTTTTACTGATAGCCTTGTCCTTAGGATATTTCAGTTATTTTACAGTGTATATTGTTTCTGAGTCCAAAGCAGATGGTACACAAATACAATCTTTAATGTTTTTCTACCAGATCCGAGTTTCCTTCCAAAAGGTTGAAAAGTGATTATTTGCAGGATTGTTTTTCACTATTTCTCTAGTACAATAATACTTTCTGGTTTTTAACAGGATTGCACATTCTTCACTCGGAAGGAAATCCTTCGGTAAGTAGATTGCATTACATTTTTTTCTTCATGATGAGTATGGAAGGGACTAAATCTTTTCTGACTTGTGAGGAAACCACATAAAGCCAGGTAGTCTGTGTGAATGAATGAGCATAGGATTGGCTCAAGGTACACTTACAGTATTTGAATGTGTCTAAGGAAACAGATGGTGAGCAGCTTCATGTCAATATCATCAACTTTTCTAGGGCTGAGCCATTGAGCAGCTGAGAGCCAGCAGCTTTCTATGAAAGGCATTTGCTGCCTTTCTGCTCAGTTATACCAATGAGTGCACATCCTTCAGTCAGTTCAGGGTTTGGTATGGGCTGAAGTGTGGGAACAACTGGTGGAACTTCAATTACAGAGCAGTGAGAATGTTTATGTCTGCACAGACTTTCCCAATCATAAATATTGGGATCGCTGTTTGCAATAGAAGGGACTTGGGTTTTTCTCAGTGGTGATGGACTGAGCTGAACTAAAGTAATTTCTGCTTATGTATATGCTGACTTCTTGCCCTGGATCTTGCTGTGGGTTCTTCACCTTCTAACCATTCAGATTAAGGATCTGTAAAAGTATGACGTAGATCTTGTCCTGTCAGTACCGCTGCTGTTTCTCGGAGGATGCCTGCCCCTTTAGGGAATGAGAATAAATCTGAGGTATGTATCTAGACCTTGGACCTCATAATGCTTCAGGATTCTCAAATTTGAATATCTTCTCAGCCATAAAAAAATGGGTTTTCCATAAACACTAGGAACTGCTTTGATATCAAAAATAAACATTGTCTCCGAGAGAAACATTCTTTGCCTCTGCTCTGTTGCTGTAACACTCAGGAAGACTGATTTTCAGGGACTGTTAAGTGCAAAAACTTACAGTCTGGCTTTGAGTGGAGTGCTTTATCTTTTGCTAGAAAAAAAAAGAGGTGGTATTTAAGCTCATTTCTTGCATACCTTGTTTTCATTACTCACAGAGGTACGGTATACTCCTCAGCAGTGCACAACATCTCTGAAACCACTATGCAGTAAGAGCACTACAAACCACCACCTAAGCTAGGATTTAATTTGGTCCAGGTCCCTCTTATAGAATTGTTATGATTTAAAAATCTAGTCACGCTGTTGGAGTACATTTTCATGACACCTAATGGTGTGACTGAATGAATTGCAATGTGTGCAGTGAGTGTGTCATAGCTGGCCCAAAGGTAAGCTCAGCTTAATCTAGGCTGGCTCCAGCGGAGATACTAGTGTCCACAAAAGTGAATTACCATAGTATGGATGGAACTTGTTTGGCAAAGCAGGTATCAAGCTGCCAACCTCTAGGAATGATGCATAATTGCCGACTGTGAAGAGCTATCATTCTGAGTTTGTGGCACCCTACAAAAAGTAGTGCAGCCTAAATAAAAATCATAAAATAACAGAATGGGTTGGGTTGGAAAGGACATTAAGAGCATCCAGTGCCAACCCTCTGCCATGGGCAGGGATGCCTTACACCAGACCAGGCTGCTACAAGCCCCATCCAACCTGGCTTTGAACACTGCCAGGGGTGGGGCAGCCACAGCTTCTTTGCGCACTCTGTGCCATTGTCCCAGTACCCTCAGAGCAAAGAATTTCTTCCGTATATCTAACCTAAATTTGTATATGTACTATAGCCCCAGTTTAAAGAATATGACATAGAATCCATCCAATTTTCTAGAAAGACTGTAACATTGGCCAGGGGAGAATGGCCTCAGAACTGTAAAATAAGGAATCAAAGTTGTAATTGGGTAACTGCTGTATCTGAATAGATCTGGAAAACATTCTTGATGTGAAAAATATTTCCAGACTGTAAATCTGAACCATCATGTGCAACAGAGAAGACATAGAAAGAGAACCTTGAAAAATACACTGTAAATTTCAAGGCAAGATATTCTAAAGTAATGAAATTAGAAAATGCCTTTGTATGGTCAGCAAAGCGAATTCATAGTATTGCAAAATCTGGCCGTGAACTGAAGAGTCGGCAAGTTCTGTTCTTTCTGTGGGCTGCAGTGGATCAAAAACTACTTGTAGAGATGTGTGACTTGGACAAAGTAGGTGAAAACTGACTGAAATGAAGGCATGTGGGACAGACAGAACCTGTGCTGAAGTTCAGTATCAGGGCACTGAAGGCAGTGTGTCAGAATAGTCTAAAAATAGCAAAAAAATGATCTGGATTTGCAAGTGTGTTTTACCTACCAATAGTCTGTGGTTGCTTGTTGGTGTATGCCATATTCAAAACCTGCTGCTGGACTGCATACTGGACCTTTGGTAATGGTAAAACAGGCCAGTGTACTTCAGTAAGTGAGAACACTCCATTGTCCTGCAGGACTGTTGGCAGCATAAAGGACTATCTGAGTAGAAGTGCATCTTTCTTTCCTCTTTGATTTAGGATTTGTGCAGTACCACAGATGCCACCGTGCTGGACACAACACTGTTTATCTCTTTCAAAACCATAATTTGAAACTGCATTTGCAGACAGATGATTTCTAATCTTCTTTTTCCCTTGCATGGCAAGTGTGACAGAGAAGAGAAGGTCACTGTATTTCATAGGGCTTAATGATAAGGCAAGCAGCATTGCATTATGGAAAAAATTCTTACGCTATTCAAGAAGAAGTGGATGCTTTTCTAGCTAAGAAAGCTTGACATGGGGACTGTGGGTGGGATACGGACTTGGGAATTGCAAGCTCCTCTTTGCTTTATTACTCTGAGCATCTTTGAAAAATTACCAATGTAATTTGTCTGTGTTAACTACGCTTAATATTTCTATGCCTTGTGAGTATGAGGATAATATTTCCTGTGTCTGTTTAGATTGCAAGTTCTGTCTTGATAAGGATCATGAGAACTATCTTCATACACTGTGTGCTGAAAGTGGTCTTAGCTGTGGCTTTTACATTTTATGGCACCTAAAAAGCTGTTCTAAGTGTTATTTGGGGCTTATGGTATCTCTGGGAGTTGTATTGTCACCTGGTACATCTGGTCATTGAAACAGAACAGCGAAGTGTTGAATGTGGCAAACAGTGTGCAAGTTAAACCAACCCTGACAGATTCTTACTAAGTGCTCTTTGTCTAAAAGGCATAGAAATATAAATGAAGAATTCTGTCTTGGTTTGCTTTTCTCTCTTCAGTAACATAAAAGGGCATGAGTGATGCTAATGATAACACCCCAAACTGTTATAATTTGTTGTGAAATTGAAATGTAACTTCTAATGAGAAATATGGGATAGCCCTCAGCTTGAGTGCAGAGAAAGCCTAGTAATGCATTTTGTATGTTGCAAATGAAGCTGTAAGGAAACAGTTTGTTTGCTGAGAAGAGAGCAAAGCATGCACTTAGACTCAATTACATTATTGATGTTAGGCTAAAGAAAACTTTTCTGCTTCTGGGCTGTGCATAGGAAATAAGGGAAGCCATTCCCTGCATGACTTTGCACCCTGTCTGTATCAAAAAGAGCAAACCCCAAAATACCTGTGAGAAGCAGTGCAGCCTTAGAATATGTTTGTGTAAAAGGGTATGAGATTAAATTAATGGGCTGTGAAAAATGAACACAGCTCAATATTAATGTTTGATTGTGAAAAGCTTAGAAGAATAAAATCATGAGAATAGTTCTGTAAAGGCCTAAAATCATGTAAGAAAGAATAATCACTCAGAATCATTGTACTTCCTCTTCTGCCTTCACCTCAGAACGTGATGTTTCTGCTTATTGGGAGCCTCTATACATAAGCAATTTATGATATGGCAGATAATAACACAATCAAAAGTATTTACTGTACACAAACTGCTGAATACAAATTGCTGTCTAGGGAACAGACTAGACGTGAGAGGTCTCTCTCCATGTCTGAGGTGAAGCTCTAGTGAGTGGGAATATGGTGGGTTATGACCCCCTCGGCTGGCTCGCCATCCATTAGCAGGAGTGGGAGTGATGGTACCAGGGAGGGGGCACAGCTGTGGAGGTGAGGGGGAAGAGATGAAGACGGCAGCTCTAATTCAGATCGATTCAAACTGATGTAAGCCAGCATGAGACTGCAATTAGGTGAAATGGGCTAAGTGTTTTTATCTGTCGCTGCAGGAAAAGTAGCCCATCAAAAAGCCCAAACAACAACAAATCTATTTTCTGCTGGTTTAATGAGCTGAATCAGCTCTCCAAGGGATCAGATGAGTGCTAAAGCTGGACAAGAACCAGAGTGAGCAGATGCAACTGAAAATGAGGAGAGTGCCAGTTTCAGTACCAGTAAGGTATTAGATTGGATTAGTCTAACTTGAGTGTATAAAACTTTGGTATCAGCATCAAGTTCAGTAAACATAAACACAGGCTGTGGCTGCAGGGGCTGAGGACTCATTATCCGAGTGTGGATAAACTGCAAATTATTAGGAAATAGTAGAATTTTTGAATTTAAGGTGAAGAAGAACTAAACACAGAGTAACGAAAATGGATGTAAGGAAAAATAAGTTAAGACTGCAGTGGTTTTGATGGTATGTGTGTGTTAGGGCTTTGAAAACATGCTTCTTTTCTTAGGGAGAATGTGGAAATTGGATCAGTGTGTAGAACTTCAGGACACAACCTTGGTGCATGGAAAGAAGCCAAAACACACTGGGAGACTTCCTAAGTGCCTAGAACATAATGCCTAGAACTTGCCCAGAGGCAGCCACTGTGCATTTGTGACAAGCAAATCTCTTCCTTTGAGTGGCTGCTCTTATGGATAAGAGAAAAGAAGCAGATGCAACATATCTTTATTTTCCTAAGGCCTTTGGTATATTCCTGTATGTGTTAGTCCTTTCCTACCTGTGTAAATGTGCTGATCTCTTGGCTAAGGTGCTACTGAACCTACTTAAAAAAGCTGTAAGAATGGTAGAATGGTGAGAAACATTGAGGTGAAGAGGGGTGCAGAAGCTGTGAAGATCGAGATGAGCTTTTTCTGCAGTGCTCATAGTGTTAGAGGAATTACTAGATCCAAAATGAACTACAGGACATTTACACAGTCAAGTACAGAGAACTGAGA